AGATAAAAAAATTATTTTTATGAAGCTGTATGTAAAAAGTCATACAATTTTACCAGAAAGCTCAAAATCAAAGCTAAAATCTTTTGTTAAGAAAAACTTACAATAGGCTAAACCTTACAGAGATAAGTAGGGCTTCTAATTTTTATCTAGAGAACAAGTACCTAAGAGCACATACAGTGTGCTCTTTGTGTACATTAGGCTAGCTCTTTTGCTAAGTAACTATCCCCTAAACGATAATTATAAAAACCAAATCTCAAATGTAGAGAAAAAACTTCCTCTAATTCTAGGTAAGTCTGTAAGAGAAGGCCAGAGTCAATTTTGAACACACTAGTAATCACACCTATGCTAGGTCTGGGTGTATAGCTCAATGGTAGGGTGCTTGTTTACATGTGAAATTTTGGGCTCAACCCTCAGTATTACAAAAAAAAATTTTACCTATGGTAAATTTTAGGTTAAGTATGAATTATATGTCAAATGTTTGCTGATTAGCTTATATAAAATATCACAGCAGTAAAGTAGTATAAGAAAATATTTTTATAATAGCAGAGTAAAATAACTTTATTAAATAAGAAAATACAAAAGCTAGAAAGAATGAAGGAAAAAATGAAGCTATTATATAAATCCCCAAACTCCTAAACCAAACATACTGCAAATGTAGTATAAGAGATGGGACAAGGAGAAAATATTTACAGTAGAGAATAGTAAGGGATCAATATCCAAAATAGGTAAAAGTTTCCACCAATCAGTAAGTATGGGTTAATTCTTAAGTTTTAAAAGATATATTCAAAAACAACAAATAACCCAAAGAACTCGATTAAAAATAGGAAAAGGACCTGTACTGATATCTAAAAAAATATATATATAAATAACATGGGGCCAGAGATTTAGCTCAATGGTTCCGCCTCCTGCCTCGCAGGCACAAGGTCCCAAGTTTGATCCCTGGTACCAATAAATAAATACATACATACATACATACATACATACATACATACATACGTACGATATATAACAAATAAGCACATGAAATGATGCTTACTATTACTAAGAACCAGGGAAATGCAAATCAAAACACAGTAAGATACTCTTTCATACCCTTTAGGATGGTTATGAAAAAGCAGAATATACATGTTGAGAGAAATGTAGAGATATTATAACCTTTGTGGAAATCCAAAGTGATACAGCCATGTGGAAAATAGTATGGCAGTTTCTCTAAAAATTAAACACAGGATTACCACACAGGCCAACCATTTTATTACTAGTGATATATCCTAAAGAAATTAAAGTAGGGACTTGGATACGTATACACCAATGTTCGTAACAGCATTGTTTAGAATAGTCAAAAGCAAAAATAGTCAATATATTAATAATCATTATTTTCACTAGGCAATATAACACTTAGTGTACATGTAGAAATAATGGTAATTATACTTTGCTACTTATTTTTTCCAAAAAATTTGCATTTGTATTGAACAGACTTTTTACTTGACGTTATTTCCTAAGCAATATACAACAAATACTTGTGTAGCATTTACGTTATATTAGGTATTCTTTTTTTTTTTTTTCTGGTACCAGAATCAAACTCAGGACCTTGTGCTTGCCAGGCAGGCACAGCACCACTGAGCTAAATCCCCGGCCCTGTATTAGGTATTCTATGTAGTCTAGAGATGACCTAGAGTATATGGGAGGATATGCATAGGTTATATGCAAATACTATGCTACTTTATATTAGGACCTGACCCTCCATGGGTTGTTTTATGATTATTTTTTAAAATTTCATTAGTACGTACATGTTGCAGCACATCCAGTTTACAATCACCTTGGGAAGTAGGTACGAGTACATAATACAGCTTGTTACTTTTTTCTTTAAATCCCCTTCCCTGCCCTCTCCCTCCCTCCTATTTCCCATTCCCATTTTCATTCTTGTTGATATTATTAATCTTAGCTCATGTTATGGCACATAATGGTTATATTCACTGACATTATTAGGTTCCTGTACATGGCTTATCCTTATTCTACTTATTTCTCCTTCCCTTCCTCCTCACCCTTTACACTTGTTTTCTTGGACCACTTCCTTACTGCAAGAGATCCAACTCCTTATTCCTTTCTAGCCATCTTTTATAATTTTCTTTCTTTGCCTCACTCAGGGATACCATATGTTATTTAAGCTTGTGTGTCTGGTTTATTTCACTGAACATTATATTTTCCAGGTGCATCCATTTTTCTACAAATGTCTCCAACTTGTCATTCTTTATAGCTGAGTGGTATTCCATTATATACAGGTACCATATTTTCTTTATCCAATCGTCTGTTGATGGGCATACAGGCTGCTTCTAGGACTTAGCTACTACCAATTGTGCTGCTATAAACATTAGTATGCATGTATTGCTGTAGAGTGATGTCTTAAGCTTTTGGGAGAAGATACCTACAGGGGTCATGTGGAATTTATTTCAGTTCTTTCAGAAATCTCCATACTGATTTCCATAATGGTTGTGCTAGTTTACATTCTCATCAACAACGAAGGGGTGTTCCTTTTTCACTACAGCTATGCCAGCATTTGTAATTGTTTGATTTCTTTTCTTTCTTGACAGCATTTGATATGGTTAAGGTTTGGGACCTCTAACAGGTATTTTAATTTGCAATTTTCTAATGATATATTATATTGAACACCCCTCCCCAGCCCCACCCCTTGCTGTGGTGCAAGAAATTGAACACAGGGCCTTGCAGGTGCTAGGTAAGTGCTCTACCACTGAGCTATATCCACTGCCTCTGTTTAGATCTTTTGTCTGCTTTTTTTTTTTTTGGTGACGGTGGTGGGGGTTGAATCCAGACCCTTGTGCATGCTGAGCACATCTTTTGCTCATTTTTCAATTGAGGGCTTTTAAGAATTTTGTATATTATAGAGGCAATCTTTTATTAGCTTTATACATTGCAAGTATTTTTTTCTCTATTATGTGGCCTGTCATTTCATTCTAAGGCTGGCCTAAAACTCCTGGGCTCAAGAAATTCTCTTGCCCAGCTTCATGAGTAGCTGGGACAACAGACGTGAACCACTGTGCCTGACTTGTAAATACTGTTTGACTTTATATTATTTCTACAATATTAGAAATTACACACTCTAGGCAAGTATTCTGCCATAGTTACATCACCAGCCCTATTTAAAAATTTTGAGACTTTATCTAAGTTGCCCAGGTTGGCCTTCAATTTAGAATCTTCCTGCCTTCAGCCTCCCCAAGTACTGGAATTACAGGTGTGTGCCACCACGTCTAGCATAGTTTTTAATAATCCAAAATGTACTGTTCAGAATGTTTTAAATGGTAAAAAGATTTTTAAAATTTTGTTTAAAAATAATATTTGAATAAGAACAGTACCAACACAATTCCCTTTTTGGAGCAAATTGAGTGTATCAACTAATAATTTTGTCTAAGTCCCATATCTCCTAAAACCATGGCTCCAAATTTCTTTGACACTCCTCCCTTCTAC